AAAAAAAAAAAAAAAAAAAAAGGGAAATAAGTTGGAAATAACGAGAAACTAATGCGCTATACGAAACATCCCCTATAGGCTACAACCCTTCAAAGCTCATCGGTCTCATGAGCCATTGTCATCACCAACAGGCTCATTCTTTTTACAGTTTTGCTGCATCTGGCCCATGCAGTCGACAACACTGATCGACTTTCACGTCTGAAGTGAAAATCGGCCCTTGCGGCTTTCTTTCTCCCCTATTGTCTTATGCAGAATGTTGGGGTTCCCTGCTATCTGATCTCGACTAGGTATGAGGCGGAAGATCCACAACATCTTTGGGTCACTTGGCCAAATGCCGAAGTGGTATGGACACAGTGGCATCATTTACATCTTGCCCCTTGGACATGGGGTGACCTACGATGTGAAAGTGCGATTTTGTTAAGCACAATATTGACTCCCCTCGTTAACCCACGAGCGTATGTGTTTGAAACTCTTCGCACCATGATATTGTGGCCTCTCTGGATATGATATTGTGAGGGCTGGGACCACTCCCTCCAAACAACTAGTTTACCATGGCATCAGGCGAACTCTGAGACATTATTTGCCTGGATTGGTGGAAGTGAGTCAGTAATGTTGTGACTTTGACAGTCGCTTTCATGTTTCAGAAAATATGGGCGGCCTGTTCTGCGTTGGTCACCAATGATGGTTGTGTGGCTGTGCCTGTGGAAGGTCTAAATGGGCACTGAGTGTGTCGAGTGTGTATCCTGGCTGCAACTGTGCTGCGGTGGGCTGAATGTCATGACCGGTATGGCCTCGCTTTAGAACACCGTGTCATAGTTGAAGTGGTAAAGGGTTCGATTCCGTCTGGTGCAGATTGATCCTGGCAATATACTGAACAGAATGAGCTGGGTGGCATGGACAACTGTGTATCCTGTTCACTGAAAATACAGAGTGTTTGAGGCTATGAAACCCGGGGGCAGGCCGGGGGACGGGAAGGGAAGTGGGAAAAAAACAAAGAAAAGCAAAGTCTGCCCAGCAAGTCCGGAAAATGAGTGCCCTTTTTCACCAAAAAAAAAGAACAAAAATCGAAAAAGGCCTTTCAGTTTCCAAATTTTGAATTTAATCACAAAGATGGAATTGTGGAGACTCACCAAGGCCGTTGGCGTGGATCATACTCCTCACAATTGTATGGGTATGTTCCTGGAGCTTGCTGCGAGCAACATATTTGAAAGAATAACATAAAACTATAAAATTAAGAGCTCATCTAAAGAATATCTATTCAGTTAGCAAAAAAAAAAAAAAAAAAAAAAAACATTGTTACTGATTTGTTAGTTATTTAAAAATAATAACAACAATAAATCAGAACATTCAGAACATTCAAAATTCCACATCATCTTGGTGTCTTTTTGTAAGCCATCATTTTCTGGAAATTGTGTTCTGAAAACACTGCAGTTATCATTGCCCATCCTTCTCTCCTTGTTTTCTCCATTTCTTCTCTTCTTATTCTGTCTTCTTTCCCCCCCATTCCCCCCCCCTTTCAAAATACATTGTGCATATACATTTTACCCTAGGCTCCCAGCTGGGATGCCCTGGGCACCCTGTTTGGCCGGGCTGCCCGGACGTGGAAGGACCGGAAATTCCATTCATGGTGGCTGCTTCATATGATGTAAGCTATATGTGCAACCAACCCCTGCATGATGATATATAATGATCAACCACTCCCCCCCGTGATGATATCATAAAGGCACTGGTATGCTTTGGGTGGTGGAATACCACAGTTAGAAAAGAAGAAGTTGGGTTGATGCTAATCACAGGGGGAAAGAATGTAAGTACAGCTGCATTACAGGTGCCGACTACTGGAAGACAGTGGATCTTGAAGAAATGGTAACGTTCATCGAATTGGACTTGAGGCATACCTGTACGCGTGCTACTGGAGTCCAATTGGAAGCAGCCCGTGGCTATCCGTACTATGGGTAAGAGTACAAACCCTCCTTTGGTTCGCATTCTACAAACATAAGAAGAGTACCAGATCGTGGGAAGTGTGGGCAAGTTCAGGAACAGGGTTTTGGGCATCTGGCTTATGGATGACGTGAGAAAGATGCCTGCCTCTTCAGCCTTAAAAGCCGCCAAATCTAACATGGCATACCAAGCAGCTACATCAAATCTTTTCCTCACTGCACAAGAGTTATCACCCCTCATCCGACACTAGTCCTTTATATATAAAACGATTATGGCATCTCCACCAGCGCTAGATGTGATGGGGGAAAAGGGTCTGCAAAGTCCCTGGGGTCCCTGAGTGAGGCTCCTGGTCGTAGTGAGAACCAGTTCTTGAAACAGAGCTGGAAGTCTCTTTTAAAGGAGACATCCGGTCCTTCTCCCCCTGGCCACGTCACTTCTCCCAGACTCCTAATAACTGTATTAAGTTATTAACTGTTAACCAGGAAACCCGACAGTCAAGAGGACTGATGGTGATTAAGGATCCTGCCAGTGGGAGTTTTTGCCCAATGGATATCCTTACGTCTGTATGACTAGTACCAGTAGGTAGGGTCAATTTGTATGGATATCCATACGTCTGTATAACTAACTACCTAATGTGCAGGGTCAATTCAGACTCGGATACCCAGGAATGAGACCTCAATGCAGAATGACAATTGCCAGAAAGTTCAAAATTATGGGCAATCATTCGAATCATGGGGAGTGGGGACGCCAGAACCAGGAGAGAGCCATTGTGTGTGGGGTACTTGCATCATTTCTTTTCGAAACAACGGCGGACGCATCAGGTTTTGAGTTCGCAAAGGTAAAAACAACACACGCCAGCAAAGAAAACAGGTGCCTACTTCGAAAAGGAAATTTGGGTCGAAAATTATCCGTTGTGCAGTTTTTTTTCCTTTTTCTTTCCCCACCTGACACCACGGCTGATCCTTGTAAATATGAAACCCGGCCTGACACCGCGACCGTTGGTACTTTCATAAAGTTTCATTGCTTTTTCGAACTCAGTGCCTGGTCTCTTTGCCGGTGTGTGTTTTTTGTGCTTGTTTGATGCTTAAACTACCAGTACTTGGTCCAGCTATCTGCCGCCGGAAAAAATAGAGTCAAAACGTCTCTAGTCAGATGAATTTGGGCGATCTGGTAGTGGCCCATACGTTTCCTAAAATTGTAGCTTGTATACGGGTACGGCTTTCGGAAGTACTGGTGGTATAAAAGTGACATGAACGTACTTACGTCTTCCTTCTTTCTTTACCGTGTCATCCTGGTGCAGGGGCCACGCTAATATTCTCTGTTCTCTGTACCGTTCCAATTTCAACGGATGTCAAACAGTCAAACTGATTGTCATACAATTATCAGATCTGAGATTCCAGGAAGTGAAGTGAAGTAATGCAGGACACCTGAAGGCAGGTATAAAAAGATTCACAGATACAAGAACAGCCTTTGAAATACCTGTCGGTATCTGGATGTCAAGGTTAAGTGGTGGCGGAAGTGCGTTTGTGGGAAGAAAGCTGCAGTCTTGGGCAGAGTGTAAGGCGAACACCCCCTGAGGAGGACTGCTGGGCAGCAGTTGAAAATGTGGCGTCGGGGAGCCATACCTGTTCTCATTCGGTTTGTCATTTATCATTTTCAATGGAATTTAGTTCTTCTTCGTTCCAAGCAGAGACAATCATATCTATTGCCGATCTAACTCGAGATTTGTTTCACATACTTGCGCCGCAATTGTCGCGGCTATGTGTCTCGCGTTCTGGTCAGCTGTGCACTGGCTCGTGCTGTTTTTCTCTCATCTATCCAGATAACTGGACTGTGTTAATGCTTGCTTCCTCATGTCTGAGCACTCTGCTTTTTTCACAGCATGAGCACTTGCTTTTTTTTACTGCATGAGCACGTGCTTTTTTTACTGCATGAGCACGTGCCTTCTGCACGTATCTGGACATATTCAACAGACTAACTAACTCTGTTGCCCGGGACCAAAAAAAATAAAAGTAAGACTCTGACTCCCTGCCATCCGTCCACGGCTGATCATCCATCAGACAAGTTGTAGGGGTTCTATCCTTTTCTGATGGACAGACACCCTCCAGTGTTTTTCAGGGAAAAAAAGGCTTGCATGCATGCATCTCTTTGTAAGAACTCTTTCTCCAAAAGGGTCAGTGAGAGAGAAGGAAAAAAAAACAAAAACAAGACAAAGTAAAACAAAGAAATGGCTTTAAAAAAGGGGACCCTCACCTTTCCTGGGAAGATGGAGAAAGTGCCGGCCATGGTTCCGTAATACATCTGACCGGTGAGGAGGAAATCGTGTTTGGTCAGTTGCTGACGGAATGCAACTGACAGCGGCCCCTGGATGCAGGTGTGCTGAAATATAGTCTGGTTTACGTGCTCGTAGTACTGGAGATCCTCCAGGATCGGAAACCTGGTTCACAAAAAAAGTAAATAAATCAGAAAACCTGTCTCTTATACACATCTAGATGTGTATAAGAGACAGGTTTTGGACAGTGATGATGAGAGGGTAACCCTAA